TTAGGTAATTCTAATTTTAACTTCTTAGTCAAATTATATTGAAATGCGACTTTAAAAAAAATAATCTTTTGTAGTCAAATACCAGGCAGGAATGAGCTTTCCAGCATGGGTAACAATTGGCTTCATGTTGTTTTCTCTAGGTTTTTTTCGTCTTTCTAACTGCTGCTTCTAGGGACATGGATAAGTACCTCCAGAGTTGGAACTGGTGGTCTCTGCCACACCCCTGGACTTTTACCATGCACTGATCCCTATCTTAGTACTAAGCAAATACAGGGTGGGGCAAAAGTGGGTTTACAGTTTTGAGTATGCAAAAATTTTGTATTTTTCCCCCCATAGGAACAGCTGTAAACCCACTTCCCCCTTCCCTCATATAATAGGATGTTGTCATAATTTCCCTAAGAATGTCAGGAGAGTGATTATAGAACCAAGCCCTCAAAATCCAAGCAAAGCATTGACCAGGATACATTTTGGCATTTATGAAAACATAAATTTGTTTAGATGGCAATAGTGGAAAGCTTTGACCACTTTAGGTCCTAACTTTTAAAGTGCATGTATGCTAAATTCACATGGATGATTCTTAATTCTTTTCTGTTTAATGCTTATTCCAGCTGAATGACAAGGGTTACTGCTAAAAATACTGTGGCTTCCCTTAGAATAAGGTGGGTCTCACATAAAAGTGAACAGGATATCTAACTCAAAATGGCAATAGCAGGTGCTTCATTCCAAAATCAGCTTTATTTCTTTTTCTCATTTCCTGCTATTAACACTTAGCTATTATAATGATGTAAGAGGTATGGGTTTATAAAGTAGCTTTCTTCTGGTTCTCCATTCCCACCACTTATGGGAGAATAAGTCTGAAAGTTCTGTCATTTTCCTTTCTGTATGTTTTGTTGTAGCTGAATAGAAGAGTCAGATGATTGTAATGATGTTGCCTTCATTTGGATGGAACAAGTACACATCAAAGTAATACTCAATAATAGCCAACCAACAACTGTCTTCTATTTCTACCCTATTGGAGAAGCCAAGGTTATCTATCACTTCTCCTTTCTGATGTGAAAACCCAAAAAACAACTTTTCCTCTCACCTGAAACTTATATAACTATTGACCAATCCTACCTCAGTAAATTGAATTACAACTTTAAAAAACACACAAAAACTTTCCTCAAGAGTTGTTGGATCTATTGCTCATGGAAAAGGTGGCTAAGTTGCATTTCTAAAGGGATCCAATTTTCTGAGGTGTTAGGACCTATCATCAATGGCTTTTTTAAAAATAGTATTTCTGTTTCTGTATCTTGCAAGGAGAAAATTATTTCCATTTATAGGAGACAGTTTGCAGCATTTGCCTTGTCCCATTACTTACTGCTTTGTAAAGAAAAAAAATCCACCTACAAACTAATATTAAATTTATAATGTAACTTTGCATACTGAATTACTTACAAATAGGCAGAGAGTTGAGGTAAAAGTGATGCGAATGGATATTTCTATTCAAGACCCTGGACACTTATTAGGAGACTAAAAGGTTCTAGAGGTCCAAAAGAGAAAAAACTTAATTAGTCCTAGGGGAAAGAAGACAATTGGGTTTGATTAAATTGCCCAAGGTAGATAAAGTGCAAAAATAAACATTGATGTTCAACCATCTCACCTATTAAGGTATTTTGTTTACCCTTGGGGGTTAAGGGGCAGGCCTCTTGTCTTGGGCAGTAAGATAAGGCTGAGGAAAGGGTGCAGATGAAGCAGAGAACGTTCCAGGAAGATGCCTTTGTTCAGAGAAAAAAAAAAAGGTAGGATGCATAACACTTCTGAGGTTGGCTAAGTCAGTGAGACTTAACTAGCATCATAAACATGTTTGGGACTTTTAAGAAATGAAGATACCCAACTCTAGAATAGCTAAAATCTTCTCTAGATAGGCGACTTGTGTTTTTAAATGCATCTAGGTCTACAAGAGCTAGTTTTAAATCTAGTTACTGTATCCAGTCTTTTAAATAATACAGGAGAAACCTAGCAATTGGATGCCTATTCCCACTTCTGTCACCTTGCAAAGGTTTTCTTAGCTACCATCTTCTCCGAATAGGAAGATGAGAATAAGGTGTTTTATTATGAGGCTGACTTGTTTTCCTGGTGTTTCCTGTAAGTTGTATGTTACTATGTGACATCCACTTTATAACTGAATTCTTCAAGAATTCCAGGGAATTTTTGTCTTTGTTTTAAGTATGTTCATCTTAGTTCATGATTCTTCTCCTTGAAGTACAGAGATCCAGAGTAGTGCTTCTTTTGGCAGGATTTAATGTTGACACCTATTGTTTGTCAGTTGAGGGTAGACTTTATAAATTTTCCTTGTGTGGAGGGTTTTCCCAGCTGGTTTTACACATTTGCCTGTGGATTAAGGTTTAAAGTTAACTATGCTTTTATATTTGGCTAATAATTTAATTTTAGATCTCATTTCTTCTAGACAGGCTCAATTTCCTTGCATGTATTTCCAAAACCAGCAATGGCCAACATAACTATAAAAAGGTTTAACTTTTTAAAGGATATTCCTGGTGAGAACATTGTTTAGATGTTAAACTAACCAAGTATCAGTATAGAAAGGGAAATTTTTTCATTCTGGTGTTTCCTCCTTTCCTGGTTAAAGAAATAACTGCCCACAAAATATATATGCCAGGTAGTTTCAGAGGCTGCGTGAATTCTTGATCTGTTAGAATTTCATGGGGGAGGTCTCAATATGGCTTAGAAGGCTGTTCTATTTAATAAAAGCAAGAAGCTTTTTAAAGAAAGGGAATCTTTTTTAAAAAATATATATTTTATTGATTTTTTTTTTTAACAGAGAGGAAGAGAGTGGGACAGAGAGTTAGAAACATGGATAACAGAGAAACATTGATCAGCTGCCTCCTGCACACCCCCTACTGGGGATGTGCCAGCAACCAAGGTACGCCCTTGACCAAAATCAAACCTGGGACCCTACAGTCCACAAGCCAATGTTCTATCCACTGAGCCAAACCAGTTTTGACAGAAAGGGAATCTTGACCCTTTCTATTAGATCCCTTTGCTGACTGGTTTCAATTAACTAACTTTGTTGGTAATCTTTTTAGCTCCTATTGTGAAGCACCCATATTCTTGCTCCCTTCCAGAGCAAGTTGTCTTTGGTTTCCATTAAAGGTTATAATTGTTCCATGACATAATCATTGTGGTAATGGAGTAAACAAATGCTTTAGTAACTTTTGGGTCATTACTACTATATCTTCTCTTCTAGATTAGATTTTGCCTGTGGTAGAATCTAAGCCCCCATTTTTGGAAATTACTTTGTCCAAAAGAACCAATTCTTTCTTTCTCTCTTTTTCTTTCTTTCTTTTTTTAGTACCATCTATTTCTTTGACTTTATTATCACTCCTGGAGGGAAGGAGTGGAAAATTTCACATATGGTATCACATCATACCATGTTTTATGATGACTTCGAAATGTTGGGAAGGTTTCTAAAGTTGTGGCCTAGAAACCAGAACTTATTTTACAGGCTGAGTTACCTCTTTTCCCTATTCTAATCTTCAATTTTTAATGTCTCATCATTGTATATAAATTTTTTTCTCTGGGTGTCATAGTAAGGATCCTCCAAATTTTCTCTATTGTGCTGTAAGTCTAGAACATAGTCTAAAGTGTTTGAGGCTGTAATTTAAAAATAGTCCTGTTCTATTTTTTCAAGAACAGCCAGGATATTCTAAAGATCTACCACACACACAGGGAGGTCCCTAACTCTTATCTAGTATCTTCGATATCCATTCTTCCCTTTACAATAATTTTGGTTCTTTTTTAATCTGGCCATTTTTATTCTACCTTGGGTGGAAAAACTCACTGAATTTTACTTATGCCTTTTAATTTGCCTAACATTTGGTAACTTGATGCCTTAGCTATCAGTAGTGTAAGTGTGGATGTTCTCTTTACCGAGTTTTCTGTTTCTTCATCAGACAGAATGTTTCTCTGATTTCATTATTACTTAAATATGTATGCCTTTTCGGCTGATTAGTTGGCCATTGGTAAACTGCTGGTTATCTTATTCATTCCATTGTTAGTTTTGTTCTGAGAAAGATTTTCCTTTTTGTGCCACTTACCTACTGACTAATCCCAGCTATGGGTATGTAGTACACGTAAGACTTTGGTTTTACATATAATTCTATATACCCTTTCTAAGCCTAGATTAGAAGTTCCTAATTTAATATCCTGGTTTTAGTAGGTACATTAGATAGCTTTTCTAACTTTTTGCCCTGGTTCATCTCCATTTGACTGAGGAAGCAATAGTTCTCTGGCACCCTCTCTACTCTTAACCTTTGCACAATTCACTACTTTTCTGCTGTAGCTCCATCTGGTTTCTTTGTTTCTGGGTCTTCCAATGCCTCCTACCATGATTAGATGGAACAGGGTCTTAACTGTCTTGTGTCCTTCAAGCTGGTCCTTGCTTTCCACTAGGCTTCTACATTTCTCTAGGACTTGTAAAAGGTTGTCCTTCTCTCCTTTCCCACTGAATAACAATTTGAAAAGTTATGGTCTTAATAAAAAATCAAAAGCATTTTAAAAGTTAAGTTCTATGAATTTCATAGGGTTTTGTTTTTATTGATGGTAACTTGATTGGAATAGGTATAATGGATAGAAGTCATAGTTATTATTAATAAGGTTGTTTCTCAATTATTAACAAGGTTATTCTTATGGAATAACAAGCCCTAAACACAGTCCTTGAACAGTCACTCAGCTGCTTGGCTCTGACACCTCCCCCCTCTTTCTGAAGAAAGTGGATCAATTAATTTATCCCTACTCCAAAAAGGTGGAACTTCAAGTTAATCAACTTAATGTCAATTGGAGCAATGCAACTGTTATACTGGGTATATTCAATTCCTGCCCTTATATTTTCTGACCTTGGAAGGGGATTGCTTTCCCTCACCATTTATTTCACAGCAGCTTATTTGTTTTTAAAGCTGCCCAGGAAGTATACAAATTAAACTTTTGACATCTACGTGTAGGAATCCCGTTCTGCTTCCAGAAGTGGAAGTGCTCATGGATCTGGGAAATCTGCAAGGCATACCCCTGCAAGATCTCGCTCCAAGGAAGATTCCAGACGTTCCAGATCAAAGTCCAGGTCCAGATCTGAATCTAGGTAAGAAAGACTTGCTCTTAGCTTTGAAATGGTGTGAACTTGGATAGAGAGGATTAGATTATTTGTTGGCCTATATAGTTAGTAGAAATGAAGTTAATCATAAGTTCTAGAAGACCGAAGACTGTTTAATCGTTAAAAGCCTGGGCTTTAGACTTAGGCTTCAAATCTGTTCTTTTTTTCTGGTTTGGGCAGATTAACCTTTTTCCACCTTAGCTTCCTGATATAAAGGCAAGTTAGTAATAGTACCAGTTCATGTTGGTCAAAAGTATGCCACACATCTTGGTTTCACCAAGACAGCCCCATTATATGCCTGTTATGAAGCATCATTAAACCTCCCTCCCCCCATACCAATTTTCTCTTAAAATGTGTCCATCCTGATTTAGATGACTATTCATAGCATCACTCTGTCTAGTTAAAAACAACTGGTTGCTTTTAAAACACAACAGAGGAAACTACTATGATGGTGATTTTCTCTTAAGTGAATGGTGGGCATAATGGAAGAAGCAGAAAAAATAGGGTGGTATTCTAAGAAGGAGACAGATTAAGCTAGTATGAATGAATGTTTCCTGATTCTCAAAAGATAATTGAATGTCTTCGCTTTTAATTTTTTAATAAAGGTTGGAAGAGAACTAGTGGTTTTGGGACACAGTTACATTGACTATTGGTATAGGAAAAAAGTATCAATTCCACCCATTTGGTATCATGCTAATATGTATATGCCTGGATTCTGTTCCGTCTTGTGGAGTTTACTCTAGAGTATTAAAACAAATGAAAGCCATATTTTGTCAGCTATTTAGTCATGACCTTTAAGCCTTTCTTTTGCAGGTCTAGATCCAGAAGGAGTTCTCGAAGGCATTATACAAGATCACGATCTCGGTCTCGCTCCCATAGACGATCCCGTAGCAGGTCTTACAGTCGAGATTATCGGAGGCGACATAGCCACAGTCATTCTCCCATGTCTACTCGCAGACGTCATGTCGGGAATCGGGTATGATGAAAAATATTCTGTTTTTGAAGCAATACACTGTCTAACACCACTTAATTTAATAGTCCTATCTCTTTTTGAAGTTAGAACTAATTTTTACAGTGGAGCATTAACAGTTACTTTTTGAGGCTTTCTAGTGTTTTGTAACCTCTTCTTAAAAGATTTGTACTACATTTGGACTATCATTCATATTTAGGTTAGAGCATTATCACATTGGTAATTCAGTCCATCAAATAAGATCTCCATGTGCATTACTGTTACTATATTAGTACATTAAATCATATAGCATCTATGTAGAGTGTTTGAGAGTGGAATGGAATTTAGAGTAAATAAATGAAAACTTGGGGTTTTCATTATGGCAACTGGAATGTTAAGATGTGATTCACTTTTCTTTATTATAATGATTGCAAGCAAGCTGTTTAATGTCTTAACAGTTTAGTGCACATCTTTGGAGAGGGATAGAGATAGAAACATGGATGAGAGGGGCATTGATTGGCTGCCTCCTGCATGTCCCCTTCTATCTCCCCCCAAATAGTTTTTTAATAGTATGTAACCTTCACTCCTACTTAATTCTAAGATTAAAATTGCTCCTGTTGTAATCCTTTCTGACCATGTGTTTGTTTGTTTTAGCTAATCCTCATCTAGGGATACCTTTTCCATTGATTTTTGTTTTGTTTCTTTGTTTTATAGAGAGGGTGGAAGGGAGGGGGAGAGACAGAGGGAGAAAAACATCGATGTGAGAGAGACACATCCACTGGTTGCCTCCCGCACACGCCTCGACCGGTGCCGGTGATCAAGCCTGCAACGGAGGTACGTGCCCTTGACCGGAATCTTAACGGTCTGTGGGTCGATGCTCTTACCACTGAGCCAAACTGGCCAGTGTCTTTCTGCCCATTCTTAAACATGCTTGCAGCACTTGCTGTAACACATTCATTTTTAAAGTGTTTATTTAGTCTGTTTATCTACTTTTATTCATAGTGACACTTTTGGTTAATGTGTCTATAGTGTTCCCTGTTTATTTGACTTATGGCAAAGTTTTTAAAAAGTTTAAAATCTACTTTTCTATTTTTAGGCAAATCCTGATCCCAACTGTTGTCTTGGAGTATTTGGATTGAGCTTGTACACTACAGAAAGAGATCTAAGAGAAGTATTTTCTAAATATGGCCCCATTGCCGATGTGTCTATCGTATATGACCAGCAATCTAGACGTTCAAGAGGATTTGCCTTTGTATATTTTGAAAATGTAGATGATGCCAAGGAAGTAAGTAAAAGCCTGCCTGTACATTGTAAACTAGCAGCCCTATTATAAACTACCAAGTATTTTGAGGAAGGACAACTTTTGTTTTAATATTGTAAATAGGAAATGCAATCTTCTCGGAATAGATTGAAGTCAGTAATACTTTGAACTTTTTCGACCTTTTTTATTATGGAAAAAAATTAAATATACAGAATAATTGAAAAGTATGACAGCGCAGTTGGTTATATTATACCCCACTTCAGTATACTTTGCTTCTGGCCTGCTATACCTCCAACTCAGTTACCCAACACCACTACCACATTATTAAGTAAATCCTGAGGGCAGCACTTCATACATGACTGGTTCCAGATTATGATATACATACTAAGTAGAATATTTCATCAGTGTTTACCTTGAGCCATTTTCTATGATGAACAACATTTAAAATGGATAACTATGACTCAATTAAAAGGAACTGCTTTCATATTGAAATGTTGGCTTCAGTCAGAACAATGAAAGTTAAAAAAAATTAGTATGTTGACTAAAAGTGAACATTTAATGAATATGGGACATAAATAATCTGAGGTCAATATTAAGATTGGTAGTTCAGCTCTAAGTAAAATTACATAGTTATTTATGAAAACTATACTTATTTTTTTAAAACCATTCTGCTAAAGCAAGAATGGAAAGTAAAGTGCAAGTAATTAGGATAGACACAATTTAAGATATTTAAAGGGACTTCTTAAGATTTCATTGTGCTTCATTTTGGTCATGCATGACCAAAGATACAAATAGGGGTTTTCCCATGGTTACTAGTAGCATAGGCCTTGTTTCCCTGATTTTCTATTACAGAACCACAGCTTTCTGAATAGCATTACTAGTATTTTGTATCTGAATCAGTAGTGCTAGAAACTCTTCTGAGGGCTTAAATTTTCAACAAAAACAGCATAATTGGAATTGGAAATTTAAATCTACTTTGAAGTTTCATTGCTGTATATTCTAAATGAAGGAGCTATATGTAGCTGTCTTCATTCAGCTTTTTGCTTCCATAGCAGGGATCCATTGACTTTTCTGCTAAAAAACAGCTAAATATTTGAGGCCTTTGAGCCATTAGGGGAATACCAGTCACAACTTTTCAGTGCTGTCATTGTAATACAAAAGCAGCAATAGACGATCTGTAAGTTAATGGCTGGGAATTAAAACCTTTGTGGCCATTGAAATTTGAATTTTGTATACGCTTAAGAAATCTTACTCCCAACTATTTCAAATTATACCTTAAGAAATCTTACTCCCAACTATTTCAAATATTAATGGTTTGTTGAATATGTATTGCTTTAGAGCTAGAAGCACTGTTAAGTTTGTTGTTAAATTACTTCAATTACCTGATTTAAATTGACATTTGTGGCTTTTGATAAACTTTTCTCCTGAGTTTTATGACTAACTGTTAAAAATTTAATAGGAGAAACAACCTAAAGTTGTGGGCCATGATGTTTTATCAATATTGAAATAAAAAATGCATCTATCTGAAACATTCCATCAGACTTTATTTTTTACTACTGTCCAGGATATATATAACAACTATGTATGTATGTATATGTTTATTTTAGGCAAAAGAGCGTGCCAATGGAATGGAACTTGATGGACGTAGAATCAGAGTTGATTTCTCTATAACAAAAAGACCACATACCCCAACACCAGGAATTTATATGGGAAGACCTACCTAGTAAGTTTATTTTCAAGATAGAAATTTTATTGATGATTTAATGTGTTCACTTCCTCCATTTGCTACAGGGAAATCTTTGGCATTTCATCTGGTCTTTCCATAGTATAAATAATTTTCACCTGTTTTCTTAACTAGCTAAAATTATATTTGGTAATATATATTCTGTGGAAACATTCTGATTGTGACACAGAATCTGATTGACACCATTACATAGATCCCATTCCACTTTATCATAAAGAAATGCCATATATTCAGCTTTGCTTGGGTAATTAAATGTTTCTGGTTTGGATTATTTTCCCCAGAATGGAAACTTAACCGTTATAATTAAAATCAAGTTTGTGTAAATCATAATTAAGTGCATTCTTTAGTTATTTTGTTTCCTTAAGCAGAGTGGAAAGCATGGGCTGAACTGATAAGATAGTTATTTGTTATTCTTATCAGTGTGTGTATTAACAGCTCTAATTTGGAGGGGGTTTTTTTTTTAACTTAAATATAAAGCTCTTATCTAAGGCAGAGAATTGTACCATTATTGCCATGTTGAAATAGGCTGAACTCCCAGTCTCAAAACTGTGTTCTCCATATGATTTTATTTTTCTTGATTGAAAATGTGGAATTGACAAATTGGCTAAAGTTGAAAGTATGTTAGGATGTATGTGCCCCTCCCGCCCCCCTTTTTTTAAGAACACATTTCTTTTTTTCTTTTTAATTTATTGATTTTCCACAGAGAGGAAGAGAGAGGGATAGAGAGCTAGAAACGTCGATGAGAGAGAAACATCAACCAGCTGCCTCCTGCACACCCCCTACTGAGGATGTGCCCGCAACCATGTACATGCCCCTGACCGGAATCAAACCTGGGATCTTTTAGTCTTCAGACCGACGCTCTATCCACTGAGCGAAACCGGCTTTGGACATTTCTTTTTTATTATTATTTCAGAGGCAGGAAGAGAGAAAGATAGAAATATCAATTCTCTCATTGATATTTCTATCTCCCTTTCTAAAATCAATAAAAAATACATTTTAAAATATATATATTTATGTACATTTTTATGTTTATCCACTAGGTGAGAATTTAAATGAGAGTAATACTCATTCCCCAGTTAACTCATTAACAGGCCTATGAATTTTTTCTCAGAAGAAGATAGAGATTATACTTGAAGCAATTTCCCAATCATGTCCTTTAGTTTGGCTGTGTAGGTTGTGTTAACCTTAAGTAACCAAATGGTCATGGCATTCCTCTGCTGCTGTTAATAAATATTTAAACAGTTTTTAACAGCAAAAAGTCATGTCCAGAAAGATAGGGAAGGCTACTTGATATTTTATAAAGATTAATATTCTTCACAGTGGCAGCTCACGCCGTCGTGATTACTACGACAGAGGATATGATCGAGGCTATGATGATCGGGACTACTATAGCAGATCATACAGGTAAGTTAACCATAATGTGAGTTTTAAGTTGCCAAAGACACCTGAATCTCAGTTGCAACTGAGAAAGTTTATGTAAGTTATAGAGGTGGTTGAAGGACCCTTGGGGCTTAGGAGAGAAAAAAGCAGAGGTAACATGCCTGGGGAGAAGAGGGGGAAATGGAAAGGTTGGGGGGTGCCGGTATTATGAGTTTTGATTAGTAGCTCTTAATGTTTTACTTCATGAATTGAAAATTCTTTCAAAAACTCATAAAAATTAAAAAGTATTATAACTTTTGTCGCCTTTAATAAAAGCATTACTTTTTTGCCAAGATATCGAGAGCTAGTTTTTAAACCAGATTTTTAGGTTGTCTCTTTAATCTGTATACTTTGAGCATGGCGGAAACAATTACAGACTATACTTTAGTTTTTCCTGTTTTTTGTCTTAGTACTGTTTTTAAAGCAAAATAAGCTGTGCTTTGAAAGTTAACACTTTATAAAGCAGGTTTGGGGGTTGTTGTGCATATAATGAATCATGCACTAAGCTTGGAAGAGTCCATGGAAGTATATAAGAAAAATAGTATTAGTTTGTTCATTACCAAACTTCAAATTTTTATAGAGTTGGTAAGGTTATGCCTATCATACTTGAAAAGCAAAAGAATACTTCCAAAGATCAAAATAAAGTTTCCTTTATTTTAGCAGCAGCAATAATTGAGACACCCTGCCGAATGTAAATTGTGTAATAAGTATTGCCACAGTAGTAATCTGTGTTGGAGTATAGATATCTTTCTTTTTTTTAATTGATTTTTTACACAGAGAAAGGGAGAGGTATAGAAAGTCAGAAACATCTATGAGAGAGAAACATTGATCAGCTATCTCCTGCATACCCCCCAATGGGGATGTGCCCGCAACCAAGGTACATGCCCTTGGCCGGGACCCCAAGTCAGCAGACCGACTCTCTATCCACTGAGCCAAACCAGTTTTGGCATAGAGAGAGAGAGAGAGAGAGAGAGAGAGAGAAATATTTTGTGAAATTGACAATTGTTGATGTCCTAATATCTGTGGAAGTGAGGCCGTAGGGTGCTTCTGGCATTGTCCAGCATCTTATTTTGGACAACATTTTATTTATTTAGTGTTTTTGCATTAAATGGCACTTGAGGAATTGCTTTATGGAAATGAGGGTATTAAAGAGGTAGATTTGATCTTTATTTTAATTAATTTGAGCATTTACTTATATTCCTTGTTGTTTTAGCCAGAGCTCTGTGCCATTTTATAAAAAGAGTGGCAAAAGTAACTCTTAATGTTTTACTTCATGAATTGAAAATTCTTTCAAAAACTCATAAAAATTAATGAATTTCTGCCTTTACAGAGGAGGTGGTGGAGGTGGAGGAGGATGGAGAGCTGCTCAAGACAGGGATCAGATTTACAGGTATGCCAGGAGAAGGGTTATAAGTGGAAAGGGTTCACATGAAACTCCGTTACTAGTCTTTTGGTAGTTAAATTATGTGGCATCGCTCAAGATTGGATTGCATGACTGACCCCAAGCGATGTGGCCATGGCTTTGTGCATTTGTAGAAATTGGTTAAGCTTTTACTCAGTGGTATCATTTTTGTACTTGAATAAAGTTATGGTGGTAAACGTCATTGATTAGGACCCATAATATTTTTAGTATCTGTTCCTGAAAGCTATTCTCTTTTGCTACATTTTTTGTTGTTGTTGGCTGTTGAAGTCAGTCTTAACAAATTGAAATCACTTTGATAATACTAGTGAAATTTATTTTGGGTGTAGTTCATGAGAGAGGGTGTGCTTAGAATTAGTGGGAAAGACCTTTTTTCTCATTTTATTTAGAATTTAACATTGGTTAGTACATTATCAATGGATGAAACAGCAAGGAGTATTTGACTTCTGGTAGTATTGGGTGATCAAACCTTGAAATCCCATGACTAATACAAAGTTTTTGAAGGTTAATGGTAATCTTTTAGTTTCAGAAACTCATAAAGGGGCTGCATGATTATGTCTTTTCATCTAATTGTGATCTCTGGACTCTTAAATGGTTTTGATAATTGTTTACAGAAGGCGGTCACCTTCTCCTTACTATAGTCGTGGAGGATATAGATCACGTTCCAGATCTCGATCATATTCACCTCGTAAGTTTTTTACTTGATATTATTTAGTTTATATATTGTAATAATATGGCTTGCCCTACTTAATTTGCTAAACCATAACAGTAACTCTTTTGCAGAAGGGGTTTGTTCAAATACTGTTTTATATATATATATATATTAAAGTAGTATTTATTTATTTGTTTGTTTATTACAGAGGAAGGGAGAGGGTTAGAGATAGTTAGAAACATCAATGAGAGAGAAACACCGATCAGCTGCCTCCTGCACATTCCCTACTGAGGATGTTCTTGGAACCAAGGTACGAATTGAACCTTTGACCTTTCAGTCTGCAGGTCAATGCTCTATCCATGGAGACAAATCAGTTAGGGCCACTTCAGTAGTTTTATTATATACTAGAGGACCAACACACAAAATTTGTGCAAGAGTAGGCCTTTCTTCCCTTGGCTTCTGGTCTGGCTTCCCTTGCAGCCCTGGCTTTGTCTGGAAGGACAACCAGTCTAATTAGCCCATGACACATTATTATTATTACTACTACTCCTCCTACTACTATAGATTAGAGGCCCGGTGCACAAAAATCATGCAAAGAAGTTGGGGGGTTCCCTCAGCCTGGCTTACCCCCTCTTTAAAAGAGTAAATGTAGCCCTAGCTGGTTTGCCTTGGTGGACAGAGCATTGGCCTGTGGGCTGAAGGGTCCTGGGTTTGATTCCAGTCAAGGGCACAGCATCACATGCACAGGTTGCAGTCTCAGTCCCCAGTAGGGGGCATACAGGAGGCAGGTAATCAATGATTCACCATTGATGTGCCTATTTCTCCTTTTCCCTTCCTCTCTGAAATCAGTAGGAAATACATTTATTTAAATAAAGGTATGTGGGTAGGTAGTGTCACCATTTTTAGTACAAGTGCTTATAATTTTTGCACAGCTTGGGAATAACTTTGTGGCTTAACCTTAGCTCAGGTTGGTAATTCCCAATTGTTTCACATTGATTCTCATTTCTAGAATGACTCTTGTGTGAGAGTCTTCCTGAATTTTCTTTTTTTCTTTTTTATCTTCCTGTATTTTCATGGAAGAGAATCTGGTACATAGGAATCTCTGAATGACAGATCATTCTAAAATTCTCAGTAAATATACTTGCTAATCAGTTCGCAGTATTAATGCCCTTTCTCTCTCTCCAATTCCAGGTCGCTATTAAAGCATGAAATGGAAGGCTTTCTGAAATCTACCTTAGAGTTTGGATATTGTTTGTGGACAATATTTTTTATTGTCTCCTGTTTAAAAAGTGAACAGTGCCTAGTGAAGTTAGGTGACTTTTACACCTTTTATGATGACTACTTTTGGTGGAGTTGAAATGCTGTTCTCATTCTGCATTTGTGTAGTTCGGTGCTTTGTTCCAAGTTAAGTGTTTTCAGAAAAGTATGTTTTGCATGTATTTTTTTACAGTCTAAATTTTGACTGCTGAGAAGTTTTTATTGTACAAAACTTCATTTAAAGGGTTTTTCTACTGAATCCAGGGTGTATTCTGAAGATGGAAGCCTGTGTGTAAAATGCTACCAAATGGCAAAAGCAACAATAAAGTTTGATTTTTACTTTTCTTTCTAACATCAGTGCTTAGCAGAATTGTTCAGACTAGGTTGTCAATAGTAAATTTGAAGACAAAAATGTTCATTTTTCTTTAGTCATTGGAACATACCATACCTAATATACCTGCAACTAAATATTAAAAATTATGCTCTGTAACTCAATACTGCTAGTATTAGAACTAATGATCTTTCAATACAGCAAATGCTTAATGCTTTTTTAATGTGAATTTGTCAGCCTTTATGTAATCTGTATTATATAGCAGGTAAAGAGTGGCACAGTATATGGCTTTAAAAGGTTATTTCTCAACGACGGTATTTCAACTGGTTATCAGCAAGTGACAATACATTCCACCACAAATGTACTCTTGTTCTAGCTTTTAGACTACATGAAAGAAACTGGGTGCTTCAGAATTTGGAGAAAGAAACACTACTGTGTTGTGGATGAACTGAAGACTGCCTGTTCATTTTTTTAAATATTATTTCAGGTCCTTTGCATACCAGAGGAGGCCCAATTTCACTCAAATGTTTTGAGAACTGTGTTAAATAAATGCAAATGAAAAGTAAAATGCTGGTACAGTTTAGTTTACAAAGATTTTACTTTAACCTAAGGAGTACTTAACCAGAATGATCCTCTCTACTTGGGGGTTGGCATTGTATTAAATAACTAGTCTTCACCCTTATCCTGAGGGTGTCTGAAATGCGTGTTCTCAGTATTGTTTCTTCCGAATTTCATGTAAATCGTGGCCAATTCTGTGGAAATTGCTATAAGTAGGCTATTTGGTTGGCCTGCTGATCTTTTTATTGATTTGAGAGAGGAGAAGGGAAATAGATATGGAGAGGAAAACATCAATCGTCTGTCTCTTCCTGCACACTCCCAACCAGGGAAAGAGTCTACAACCTGGGCATGTGCTCTGGTCAGGAATTGAACCAGTGACCTTTGGTTTATGGGTCAACACTCAAACACTGCTAGGCAGCCTGCTGATCTTTATATAGTACAGGCATATGAGAGGTTTGGTTCTAGAACATCACAGGTGAATTATGTTAATTTTATTTTCCCAGTGCTTAACAAAAGCCATGTTTACAGTACACTGTGATCTTATAAAGTGCAACAGCCTTGTCTTAAAAAATAATATACTTGCTGCCCTAACTGGTTTGACTTGGTGGATAAAGCATTGGTCAGCAGATTGAAGGTTCTGGGTTCAATTCTGGTCAAGGGCACATGCTAGGGTTGTGTCCTCGATCCCCAGTAGGAGTCGTTCAGGGGGCAACCAATCAATGATTTTCTAATCATTGGTGTTTCTATTCCTCTCCCTCTCTGAAATCAATAAAAATATATTTTTTAAATGTACATGCCTTAATACTTGATTGCTTTCAAGAAAAAAAAAACCTGCTTGAATCTTCAAGTCTATCTTTTTGCTGGTGGCGGGTCTTGCTATGATTTTGGTGAAAAAACTCAGTTTCTGCAAAATGCAGTAACAAAGGGTATGCCTATATTTTTAGTATGTCCAATGTTACAAAGCACTTTACATATATTCATTTAGTCTGTAGCAATCATAATGTATTTACTTTAAGTCAAACATTTGTTAAAGGTCCAGTGCCAGGATCAGAGCATAGGCAGTTTCAGTCCACAGTATTCATAGTTATAATGCCATTCTGCCTCTAATCTGGATAATTAAAAATAGTTAATGAAACATATACAATATTTGTAGGCCTTAATTTCTCAAACTTTTAACTCAGCAAGATATATGTCTCTTGTACTTCCAGTAGCTGTAATAAATACATAGATCCCTTACATGATTATACAGTTGAGTTGTAGAATGATCCAGAAGGGGTGGGGGGGTAGAAGGGTTTGATTATAAGGGATGGATTAAAGGTTTGAAGTTGTAGTCTATTCACATGCTGTGGTGCTGTTAGTCATCTAGTTTCATGAAAGAAATGTGCATATTCTAAACTGGTCCCTTGGGTTAATTGCCATAGATTATCATGGGAGGCAGTGAATGGCAGATAATTTAGGGATAATGTAAATTATTGAAATGTTTGAAGGGAAAAGAACCCAGGATTTTTATATGCCAATACTATCAAAATATTGCTAATAGCTGCAGGACTAAGGTGAAATCAGATGTAAGTTGATTTGGAGATTACCGAATTAAAATAGCTGAAATCTGTAGTGTAAAGGGCCTAGAAAACACAGGTCAACAGTAATTTTGGGGGGCCTTTGAGGACCCTAAGCCGCCGTGTTTGTAAATTGTTACATAAAGCATGCCTCAAAATAAAATTCCCATTAATTAGTATTTAAACTTTGCAAAGCTTGGGGAACTCTGAATTAGACAAAGTTTTGCCCAGGATAAATTGTCATAAAATTTTTATGCAATTTTGGAGGATAAATACGATTGGATTTATCAATGAATGCACCATCAGCAATTTGCTTTGCCCAACCAGCTAAGGTCTGTCTTGTCATATAACCAAAAACCTAGATATCTTGAACATAGGTCTCACATAGTAGAGGAATTATGTTCATCCTTTAAAAAAGACTAGAAACCCTAGTAAGTGACCTGTGCGTAAGGTGAGCCTAAACTAGTTTTACCAAGGCATATTACAAGCTTGTGTTTTGGAAAGGAAAATTCTTTTGTGGTGATATGGGGAACTATCAGTAATGCTGAGCATAGATCATTTAAGGATATTGGTAATAGAAGTTTTGGAGAGAGGAAGTTAAGATATAGTACATATAAGCATTATGGTTGAGTTAGAAAACCTTTGTATGCCTCCTTTAAATTTACAACTGGGTGGACCTGTACAATCCAACGACGTTTCTTAACATGAGAGATCCACATAATGGTACATCTGAAAGTGGACATACTGGAATACATGGGGCAGGCAGCAGGACGGAAGGTGTCCACAGAATTCCCTGGCCACCTAGGCCCCAGATAAGGCAGTAGCAGTGAAATATAGTTGGGGTGCAGCCTCATACTACAACCCAGCAGAGTAAGTCTGTAGGCTTCGAGAATTAAGCCTCCTGACTCCCCATCCCTCATTGTAGAATGGTAGCAGTGGAAAATCTGGACTAGCTAGGCCACAGTGCTGTCTGCAGCTATAAGAAAGGAGAGGGCTTGCCTACCTGTTCCCCTCACCCACCTGTGTGGTGGTTCCCTGAGGTCTAGTCAACCAAGACACAGGAATACCCACCTCCCTGGTCACCTAGGTAGCAATCCCCAGGGCCTCAGCAACACCCCACCACAACTGTAGTCCCCAAAGAATTAGAGCAGGTTAAAAAGTGTTGTAGCGCCATCTACTGGGGGGGGGGTGTGTGTTATCAACTTGCTGAACTGTTAAGAATGGTACTAGATTAGACGGGGGTAAGAGAAGATGATTTTTTTTCTATGAGAACTGTGACTCCATTAGAAAGAGCAACAGTAGGATAATTGGTATCCCAGAAGAGGAAGGAAAGGAACAGAGAACCTATTCAAAGAAATAAAGGGAACTTTCCAAACCTAAGGAAGGTACTGAACATGTTCAAGAAGCTAATAAAATATTAAAGCTGTCAAAAATTAATGGTAAGCAAACAATTTTCAAGGCGTCTATGGAAAAAAGACTAACCTATGAAGGAAGCGTTATTAGATTATAATCAGATTTATCAGCAGAAACTACATCTTTAAGAAAAAGAACTGTTGCTGAGAAAAGGAAATCCTTGTAACTTGGTGGCAATGTAAGTTGGTTTAGCAGCTTTGGAAAACAATATGGAGGTACTTTAGAAATAAAAATAGGACTGGCCAGCGTGACTCAATGGTTGAACATTGGCCCATTAACTAGGAGGTCAATATTTTATTCCTGGTCAAGGCACATGCCCAGGTTTTGAGCTAGATCCCCAGTAAGGGGCATGCTGGAGGCAGCTGATAAATGTTTCTCACTCATGGGTGTTTCTATCCTCTCTCCCCCTCTCTAAAAAAAACAAAACAAAAAAAACTAGAGGTATCACATTTCATGATTTCAAATTATATTACAAAGCTACATTAATCAAAACAGTATGGTACTAAAAACAAACACTAATGGAACAGACTAAAGAGCCCAAAAATAAACCCACACATATATAATCAACTAATATTTGTGCCAAGCATACATGATGCCAAGAATATACACGGGAAAAAGATAGTTTTTTCAAAAAACGGTGTTGGAAAAAGTGGATCTTCACATTCAGAAAAATAAAATTGGACCTGTATACCATAAACCAAACTCCACTCAAAATGAATGTAAATTTTACTTAAATGTAAAACCTGAAATCAGAAAACTAGATGAAAAGGGGGGGGGGGGTCTTCAATGTTTGGCAATGCTTTTTTGGATTTGATACCAGATAACAAAAGCAAAAATCAAATGGAACTACATTAAACTAAAAAGCTGCCGGGACCGGTTTCGGCTTGGGGACAAGGGTCCTGGGTTCAATTCCCGTCAAGGGCATGTACCTTGGTTGTGGGCATATCCCAGTAGGGGGTGTGCAAGAGGCAGCTGATCGATGACTTATGGAGGTTTCTAACTATCTCTCTCCCTTCCTCTCTCTACAAAAATCAAAATATATTGAAAAAATAAGTTACTGCACAGCAAAGGAAACAAAATGAAAAGA